AGGCCTCCTGTAATTAAATGCATCAATCATGAAATATGCACAGAAATAATTCAATACTCAAACACAAAAATTGAACACTAAAGTACATAGATTAGATCTCACAGTTGGTTGATTCCGAGGTCTCCGTTTCCGATGACCAGTTACAAAAGTTTTAGCCGCTCTGGCCATCACCCAAACTCAAGTGAAAGAAAATTTCAGAGAGAGAAGAGAGAGAGGCGTGGTCCCCAAAACCTCCTCTGATCTCCCTTTTAAATCTAATTTAAGAATTCAAATCCCACTCAATCTCCTAAAAGAAATATTCTCCTATCCTAAAATAACATTAATCCTAATTTAATTCTAATTGGAAATAAAATAAAATAGAGTCCTAATAAATAGGAGTGGGTGTTCCAGCTGTAATTTTTTCGTGCAGCATGTATGTCTTCAAAACGTGAATAAAAGACTGACTTGCATAACAAGTCAGAACGCTCCAGGACGTCGGTAATGCAGGTGCGTCAACTCAGCTCAATTACACCTGATTAAGTCATTATCTCTAAAAACTCAAAACATTAAAGTTGTAGATCTCTTTCTTAGCGTTCCACAGCACTTTGAATCATCTCAATCGGACTCGGATGAGAGAATTTGCCCAGATACGAAGCAGTGGCGAAACTGTCCGAATTCCCCTATTAATTCCGTTTTCAATTAACACCTCCATTTGCTTCCTAAACCAAAATAAAGTAATAATGAGTATAATTAGGAAACAAATACATATAAAAGACTAAACATTAAGGGGGTTAAATATGACATTTTGCATTCCCATCACAAAACCTAAGAACAAATTTTACTAAGCACGAAACAAAACTAAAATAAATCTAATCTACGAAACTATCCTCAATGAAATTTCCCACAACAAAATGTTTAATCAAAACTAAATTTATCAATGCAACCAAAAGAATTTAATACTAAGGACAAAATTAATCTTAGGAACAAAAGAAAATCAAAGGTTAAGAGAATTTCACAATCGGGACGTGCAGGATCTTCAATGGTCATGACACGCTGAAGCGTTTTCCCAATTGCAATTTTCCTGCAACAAAAACAAACCAAATGAACTATTCCAATGAAATAAAATAAACAAAGTAAAAATGAAATTACGCAAACAACCTAAAAAGAAAATAATTAACTAAAATGCAAACAGACAAACTAAACGGGACACAAATATTAAACAATTCACCCAAACAAATAATCACAAGAAAGAAAATACACACAACAAACAACAAAACAACAAAACTAAAATAAACCAGAATAAAACTATAACTACCCAAACACACAAAGTCAAAAGCACGTTGCTCCCCGGCAACGGCGTCAAAATTTTGTTAGACCGATCGTCACAGTCTAAAAATTACCTAAATACCGTAATCGGTAAGCAGGATCGAATCCACGGAGCAAGACTAACACCTAATGTATTTTAAGTAGCGGAATGAAATTGGCAATGGATAATGAACTAAATAGACTAAATGCAAATAATGAAATAGTGCAATTAAAACTAATAAAAAACTTTATAATAAAAATGTTGCCGTTACGTTTTTGTTCGACACGAGACCGACTCACACAATTCTTCTCTACCCTCTACGATCCCCTAAACCTACAAGGCAAGGTAAATCAATGATGGTTTCCCGACACTCTAGGTATAATCTATCCTGTCTCACCGATCACTCAATTTCGATTGGTTAAAGACTATCATTGAACGGATAAACGCTACAAGGCAATACCACTAGTTGGTACGCGATTAACAAATACAATCTGTCAACACGTAATATCTAATCAACCAACTTTACAATAAACGCAACAATAGTAGAAATTAAATTAAATCCAAACACAACTCAATTACATCGATGCGAAGTAATGTAAGCAATATTCATCATTTAATTATTCCAACCACGTTTATCATTCAGCAAGTTCTATGAAAACATTAAATCACAATGGCAACAATATTCATCACAAGTTATGCCCAATCATATTAAAGTATCGAAATCATCATGAAACGAAAACAAATATAATCCGAAGCACAATACTACCAAATGTCCTATAATCGGGCTCATCCAACTAGTCGAGAGCTGATGAAGAGAGTCGTGGAGTCAATCCCGATCTCGCCTATGCCGTAACAGACAACCGGAGCTTAGCCGCTCATGGTGGTGATGACGGAGGCCGAAACGGTGGAAACGGAGCTGACCATGGCGGAGAGGAGGTAACCGCAGCGATATGGTTGCGAAAAAGGGGCGAAAACGACCAACGGACAGCCCGAAATACGAACAGCCACGGTTCGCCGAAAACTTATTTTCCACGGGTCTCCGGAAAACGGTGGCGGAAATGGGATCCGAAGGTACCGATGGAAAGCTCTGGTGATGGAGTTCAGATCAGTCCGGGGAGGTGAGAAGTCGCCGGAAATGAGCAGGATCTGGCCTGGAAGATGAAGAGTCGCGGCGGCTAAATCACGGATTCCGGCGGTTTTCGCGGCGGCTGAAGCTAGGGAAGTGTAATCCAGCTGTGGAAGTGAGATCTACCCTTGGGAGCTGGAACGTCACCGAAAAATGGCCAAAACTGGCCGGGAAGACGAAGAGTCGCGGTGGAAGACGAAACGCCGCAGTGGCTTGGTTCACGGTGGTGATGGAGGGATGATGGTGACCGGAGCAAGGGGAGGTGAATCGTCGTCGAAAAGGAACCACTCGTCGCCGGAGCTTGATCGGAGAAGGTGAAGGGTCGCCGGAAAAATGAAGATGAACAGCCCCCTGGTGCGATCTGCGTTTTTTTCTTTTATAGCACATATTGCAAAATTTCATTTTAGTCCCTGCACAATTAAAAGTGACAAAATCAGCCCCTTAAAACATGACATTTTACCCCCTAAACAGCATAAATGAGACAAAATCACCCTTAATCCATAAACCACCTAATATCAACTCATATATTTTCCAAAATCATTCCAAACCATGTTAAATTCATAAGAAAAATATTAGGAAGCGATTTTCATGAATAAATTCATAAATTCTTTAATTGTCTCAATATATTCAGTTTAATCACAAATGGGGTATTTTATCACCAAAATAGAGTCACTTTCATGACTCTAACAATCCACCATCACCGCCATCGCGCCTCTTCACCTTCCAACCGAGATCTCTCCCATTTCTGCAACCTTTTATCTTCCTAAGATCCGATCTGACCTTCCCATCATCAGAGCTTTCCATTGGTACCTTCGGATCCCATTTCTGCTACCATTTGCCAGAAACCCGCTGGAAAACTAACATTTCTGGCGAGTGCGACTGTTCATATTTTGGGTTGTCCGTTGGGTTTTCACCCCTTCTTCACATCATATCGCTTTCGGTTACTTCCTCTCTGCCATGATCAGCTTCATTTCCACCGCTTCAACCTCCGTCGACACCACCATGACGGTGGAGTTCCTGGTGTCTGTTACGGCATAGGCGAGATCGAGATTGACTCCACTGCTCCCTCATCAACTCTCGACTAGTTGGATGAGCCCGATTGTAGGACATTTGGTAGTATTGTGTTTCGAATTATATTTGTTTTCGTTTCATGTTTAATTTCGATACTTTAATATGGTTTGAGCATAATTTGTGATGAATATAGTTGTCCATTGTGATTAAATGTTTTCATAGAACTTACTGAATGATAGACGTTGGTTTGAGATAATTAAATGATGAATATTGTTTTTCATTACTTCGTATCGATTGTAACTGAGTTGTGTTCAGATTTAATTTCATTTCTACTGTTGTTGCGTTTATTGTGAAGTTGGTTGATTGGAAGATACGTGTTGACAAATTGTATTTGTTAATCATGTACCAACTAGTGGTATTGTCTTCTAGCGTTTATCAGCATTCAATGATAGTCTTTAACCAATCGAACTTGAGTAATCGAGTGAGACATGATAGATTATACCTAGAGTGCTGGAAAGTCATTTCATTGATTTACCTTGCCTTGTAGGTTTAGGGGATCGTAGAGGGTGGAGGAGAATTGTGTGAGTTGGTCTCGTGTCGAACCAAAACCGTAGCGGCAACGTTTTTATTATAAAGTCTTCATTAGTTTAATTTCACGCTTTTATTATTTGCATTTAGTTTGTTTAGTTTAATTAATCAAATTGTCAATTTCATTTTCGCTACTCAAATATGCATTAGGTCATTAGTCTTGCTCTCTATGGATTCGACCCTGTTTACCGCTAACTACGGTATTTAGGTTTAATTTTGTGGCCGTGACGACCGGTTCGACACCATTTCTTTTAAAGTTCGGTTTTTCCTCTCAGCAACTCCATTAGACTGTGGAGAATAAGGAGGTGTGGTCTCATGTATAATACCATGATCTCTACAAAAGGAATCAAAGTCATTTGACTTATATTCGCCTCCTTTATCCATTCTTAGCCTTTTAATTTTCTTATTGAGTTGATTTTCAACTTCATTTTTATAAGTTAAGAACATTTTAATTGCATCATCTTTACTTCTCAATAAGTATACTCTAGTATATCTAAAGTGATCATCAATAAAAGTTGTATAAAAATTTTTTCCTCCTCTGGTCATGGTTAATTTGTTTCAAATCTCCAAGATTACTGTGAATTAAATCGAGAAGCTCATTTTCTCATTCTAGAATTGGTTTACAAGTCTTTTTAGTGGATTTAGATTCCACACACACATTACATTTATCAATATTTGAAATATTGACATTTGATAATAAACCAAGTTCTTTCATCTTTTTCAGATAACCATAATTCACATGACCGAATCTACCATGCCATAAATCTATTGAATCAATAACACAAGTAGAAGAAGATGCATTTTCATTCATAATAATATTAAGCACATTGAGTTTAAATAACTCTCCAAAACAATACCCCTTCCCAACAAAAGCCCTATTCTTGGACATTACAATTTTGTCACCCTCAAAGGAGACTTTCACTCCAACCTTTCCCAATACATAAATAGATACAAGATTATATCGAATGTTTGGAACATGTAAAACATTATTCAGTGAGAGGGTTTTCTGAGAAGTAAGTTTGAGAAGAATTTTCCCTTTCCCAAAATAGGAGTACAACAGGAATCACCAAGGTAAACACATTCTTCTTCATCCCTCACTGGTATGTATTTATAGAAAGAATTTCTATCTCCACAAATATGCTTTGTGGCCCTAGAATCAATTATCCATTCTTTCTTTTCAGCAACCATGTTCACTTGTGAGACAACCACAGCAACAATAACATCATCTCCTTCAGCTAGATTGGCTTTAAGAGGATTTTTGTTGTCTCCAACTTTATAGTATCTGCATTGGCTAGCAAAATGTCCAGTTTTCCAACACACAAAACAGTGTCCTTTCTTTTTGAAAGTATTGGGGTTCTTGTTGTTAAACAATTTCTTGTTATTATTCTTAAAACTCTACGGTTTCTTGTTCTTAGGTTGAGGAGGAGCCACTTGGTTTTCAACAACATTAGCCTTGGATGTCAATTCCTTGGCCGTATCGACTTTATCTCTAAGTCTATTCGTCTCTTCAATCCTAATATGTACTATCATATCTTCTAAGCTCACTTGCTTCAACTTATGTTTCATACTATTCTTATAATCTCTCCATGAATCTGGAAGTTTCTCAATCAAGCAACCACCCACAAAAGTTTCAGGAAGAATTATTTCTTCATTTTTCAAGTCATTTATCAATAAATGATGGTCATGGACTTGCATGAATACCTCTTTTTCTTCTACCATTTTAAAATCTAGGAAGTTTCCTATGTCATATTTTTCTGATTCAACATCTTCAACAACATATTTCTTTTTCAGGATTGTCCATATCTCATGTGCAGTCTTATAAGTGCAATAAACATCATAAAGCTCACTCGATAATGTACTGAGGATAGTTTGATGACCTACCTTATTTCCTTTCTTCCAGGTGTCAAGTTTTTTTTATCAAAATTGGCCACTCTAGGTTTTGGTTCTTCTGATGTGAGGTACTCTGCAAAACCGAGCACGTCCAGGGAGTCGAACACTTTTTCTTACCACCTCTTGAAATGAGCTCCAGCAAAGGGCTGAATTTTGGCTATGTCAGGAAGAGACTTGAAGGTGAGAATTGCAATGTCCATTTCGGTAGATTTCACTTAAAGTTTCTGATCTTAAGATTGTTGAAAATTTATTACAAATTAACTGCAAAATAGCAAAAAATCCAGCAGTAAAACAACAAGAAAACAATAGTAAAATAACAACAGAAATAGCAGTAAACAACAGTGAAACAACAAAACAGCAGTGATATAGCGGCGATACAGCAGCAAAACAACAGTGTCAAGGTGTGCAAAAGCACTGCCCTTAAGATCAGAATTCTGCCCCTACTGGAAGAATCTTCATGGTGTAAAAATGCTCAACAATAGACTAACTTCCAGGATACAATGATGAACCTCCTTTTAGAGTGCACACTCTAACAGAGGTTTAAAACAGCATAAGGAAATGTAATAATGGTGAAGGGGAGCTAGAAAGTTAATAAAAAACAGTGGAAATAAGGATTCTCTCAAGTGAAATTGTATTTTTCAAATGAGAAACACACCCCTTTTTATACTTGAAAATCTGACCGCTTTCCCTTAATTCATTCTTGTAGTAACCGTAGCAATTCAATTGCTTTTAATAGCATAATAGTCCAAGAATTCCATTACTCTTTCAATAGCATAACAGTCCAAGAATTCAATTACTTTTAGAACATAACAGTCCAAAAAGCAATTAAAATTCGTATTTTGAAATACCATAACTGCCAACTATTATCACACTGGGACCCTGAAACTACTGGCCGAATAAGAACGAATCCCCGAGGCCCTGCAAGCATCATTTTCCTATTCTGATTTATTGGTTCTATAGCTCAATGATCATTGCTTCCGCAAAGAGGCGCTAACATAAACAACTACAACAACCTTCAAAAAGTATTTTGCCATTCAAACTCGAAGTCAACCCTCAAAAGAAGCAACAACGAAAAACACAAATAGTTAAATGAAGTATTGAATAATCCTTTGCAACTATTTAAACACTTCTTCACATTAAGTAGTGAACTGATAAAAACCAAAACAAAATGAATGATTGATTGAATTTTGAATAAATTCAAATTTAATTCAAAGCGAAGTAAAGTGTTTAAGAGTGAGAAGAGAAGTCTGATTTTTTAGTTTGGTTAAATTGATGATGCCCTTTTTAGTAATTTTCAATTTAAAATATAAATTTATTTTGTAAATAATATTAGGGTTCAAAAAGAGTTTTGGCGGAGCTTAAATAACAACACTTTAAGAATTACGGCAAATGTGAGGGAGTTGGATCCATTTTCTTTGAATTTTATTTCCTGAAAGTTCATGGAGACCTGAGAATCGCGGTATGACCATCCAGTCTTTTTTTTTTTTTTTTTTTCCTGAAATTAAAGTTGCATCAAGAGAGGATCTTGATACTAAAAAACACTATAAAACTGGCCGAATGGCACCTTTCCCACCTTAGTGTCAATCAACTCAAACATGTGTGTGTCTGGTTAATTAAATGTAGCAGATAAGAAAAAGATTAAACACCCTATAGATTAATAGTGATACTGATCTGGGAAGCAAAGCAAGCAACTAGGCCTATTGCTGACTTTCTTTCTATGATATGTACAATATTCAGACTTCTACGATATCGATCCACAAGAATTTTTTATATCTCTGCACACTTAACACTTTCAGCTAGTCCCCAGTATATATTCTATCTACTCAATCTCAGCATGTACATAATCAATAAACACAAAGTTTCTTTGGAGTTCATGCAAAGCATAAGCAACCGCAGCACCTATAAGTGCAAGCACTGCCAAAACTACACGTAATGCATATCTGAAGGAATCCCAGCAGTTGCACAGAATACAATTGTTGCACCAATTAGAAACTTTCGCCACATCTGAAATGCTGAATAAGCTCCCTTACACGATGAACACTTAAGAGTATGCTGCTCAAATCTATCCAGCATCTGCAACATATGGAATGAAACATACTCAGATCACTTAAATACATTTGGAGACTTTCGGTTGTTCACGCTAAACATTTATCTTCATGATTGATCCACTTAATATACACATTTTGCATTCACATACTTTGAAGGTCTACATTCAATATCAATATTCCTTTTAGATTTCTTGAAAGAATGGACTGTATAGGTTTGTGTACCTGACGTTTTGACAAGACTGTTGATGGCAAAGGTTGTTGACTGCTAACGCCCAAACCAGTCAGGCTGGCTTTTGCCATGTTGTCTCAACCAATTTCGAAATGCCAACACAAACCGATCTGCTTGTGTGGGTGTAAATGTAAGTTTTGTATATTGTTTATTACATCCTAGAACCCTCCATTGACAGCGCAAGAAAGATCTTTTCTTGGCCTTGAAGAACTATCAAGTCTCCATCATAGACCTTATTTGAAGTCCAATGCTCATGCCATCTAGGAATCACCTGTCATAACCAGAGACCACATAAGAGGAAATTCACCCATGTATAAGGACAAAAAGTTGCAAAATATTGTATTAATAAAGAACATGATGGCATCAAAGATAACAGAGCTGGATTTCCCAAACTAGATGCTACATCTGTGTGTCTGTGCAAAGCATATGTGTACTAGCACATGTTAAAGAGTAAGACAAAATTTCCCAATTGCATAACCAACAGGACTTAGCACTCTCCACTTTCTGGATCATAAGGGGTCTCTGAGTGAGTATGTGTGCACTTCCACAAGTCTGTTAAAAAGTAAGAGAAAAACTCCCCAGTTGATAACAAAGTTCGTCATCTAACAGGACTAAGTACCATCCAATCGTAAAAATTTATATGACTTAGCACAGAAATGAGAAGAGAAAGTAAAATTGAGAGAATGGAAAGGCTCCCAAAAACTGGACAGCATAAAAATGCAATTGGTTCTGATTAACACAAATGACCCACCACATAGAAGAATATTTTTATCCCATTATTACAATAGCAACATGATGATCAGCTATCAGGTGAACTTATAAAAAGTATTAAAATAGTGTGTGGTTTAATACCCAACAAAAAGATAAATGCATTCATGTACTACAATATAGAAGTACTAAAAATGATCAGAATGCTTTTGAAGATTGGCAGTTGGCACCACAGATGAATTTTTCTAATTTTGAAGACCAGTTACATATAATTTCAAAACATTTGTAATGCATTTTGGAAATCTGTACTTAGGCATATGAGAAGCAACTAGCATATGACACAAAAATAAATAAATAAATAAACAATAAAAAAGAAACAAAGAAAGAAAAGAATAGCATGCTATAAGTTAGATCATGAAAGTAGCAGATGATCGAATTTCCATGCATATTGTACGATAAAATTTCAGCAGAAGCACAATTGATGGGTTCTTACCTGCCACCATGCAGGCCCTGGCATTGTGAATTGGAAGAAGTTCCGGGCACTACAAACTATAGAACGAGTCTTCCCAGGTGCCATTGGTACATGAAGGAACAAATCCATATTATCCATTTCTGGTCACCTACTATAGGAAGCTTTGTGTCTATCTCTATTCTGGAGAGAGGCCAAAAAAAAAAAAGGTACAAGAATGATAAGTTTGGAAACCCACAAATCTTTCGAAAACAGCTATAATCCTCAAATCAACAAATCAGAGGAAAGTTTAAAAAAGTTATTTGAAATTATAAATACAAGATGTGATATTTCTTCAACTTCCTTAAACTACAGCTGGGGTCAAACAACTCTGCACTGAGTGTCAGTAACCGCTATTTATGATAGCCTTGATAACTAAACTTTTTAATTTTGGAAAGAGGAAATGTTGGATGGGTAAGCCCAAACATTTTCACAAAATAATATTATGACAAAATGTCTTTGTCGGGATTACTAAAAAATAATATACAATGAGACTGACAAACTATTCAATATCCCCAACTACTGAAGAACAAAGATCATAGACATGGAATTTCAGAATCACAAAAAAAAAGCAGAGGATAGGAGTTAGCTTATCTCAGATGGTATGTTGAGATGTTTAAATTCATGTGAACTAGTTAAAAAACCATGCTTGGGAAGCACTGAATCAGAAACACTGTTATCATTAGGTGAAGTAGTTGACAAATTATGCTTATTAACTACGAATCAGAGACATATAAGCTAGTTGATGCATTATGTTTATCAAGCACAGAATTAGAAACATATAAATTAGTGGATGCATCATGTTTATCAAATGCAGAATCAGAAACATGAGTAACAGTAGGATTATCACAACTGGAAATATTGGCAGAATTATTGGTGATTTTATTCTCAGAAAAGTGGTTACAAGTATTTAACTCAGGTTGCTGCAATTTTAAGGCTTATACAAAAGTGAACTTACTTGTTTATATAATAACATGGAGCAACAAACTTGGCACTAATCCTGGGGTTCCCATCATTTGCTCCAGCAAAGCCCCAAGGACCACTAGACTCCAACTTGAATGGCAATGGCTTCGCTCTATCCCTTCTTCCTGTAACCTGTGAGTCATGTCTCTCATTATGCAATGTGGAGATTTTTTAATAAAGGAAGTGAAATTAGTGTTACATTCGCCTAGCAATCTAGCCAGAAATACAAGGCCACCACGACAACTAACAATATACCAGCATGTAGACATAACATGGCCCAGAAAAATCCCAGGCACACCCTCAACTGGATGTGTTTTACGAAACTTAAGAGAAAACCAGGCAACAACAGTCAATAAGTAGGCCCATCATCATAAATAATCCAAATTTATCCATTATTTCACTTTCCAGGAAAAATAGTTCAAAAATAAAATAATTTCTGAATGACATTTTTTAAAGGAGAATAGGCCTAATTCTACTCACGCTTCCAGCCAATCGAACCCTTAGAACTGTTCAAGAGGGAAATCCTAAAGAATGTAAACTAGTTCAGTCATCTGAGATGCATGTGTGGCCTGTGAAGTAGGTAGAATTGTAATTGTTTCATATCCCAGGTACATTTTGACAACTTCTCAATGATGTTGAGCAGATCATTTACAGTACTAACTCAATCTTAATGCAATGCTCTCAGGCTAGCCATATTAAATAAGGACTTTTTTTTCCTCAAATAATTCAAGAAGACCTCGTTTTGTAGATAATAAATCCCAGAATACAGCTGACTACTAGCAGATTACCATGTTTGAGACACATATTGAATTGTGTATTAACCCAACTAGTATTGCACAAATGGCACTTGGCAATATTATATTTCCCTATAATCTAAACTACGCCAATCCACAGTATCTTATACAACCTGCAGCTGTTCTCTGATAATTGAATGGAAGGATTCCAAGAAAGATGTTTTATTTCAAGTGTGTACCTTGTGATGAGCAAAATCAATGTGAGAAGGATCTGAGACATTTTCCATCAGAGTGTCATAGCCATAAAACAGATCACGTTGAATTGTCACCGTTGAGAATTCGGGTTTGTCAAAGTCATCAGGCAACCTAAAATCATCATAATAATAGTACACAATCAAAATGTTAACCAGACAGTACACTTTGATCAGCAAGCCTATTAATTGGTTTCATCCATAGACAAGAGTCAGAACAGAGAAGTTGAGTCAATTACAGTGGGGGCTTGGTAGCATTGGCTCTTTCCCAACCATTCTCATCTGGCCAAACAAAGAGCAGACCTTCAGATACCATTGTAGGAAATCTTGTAGCACAAGCTCTAGGAGACCGAAATGCACGAGCTTCAGGACCTTCAGATGCTGCCTGAGGAATCCGAGTGCAGGATCCACACCCATCAAAGGACCACCCATGGTATGAACACTGCAAGTGCCCATTTTCTTCTATCCGCCCTTCCTACAAAACAAGAGGAACCCATCAATCGTATTAACGATGGCAACTTCTCAACTTGGTTGCCACTATAAACTAGAAACTGAAAGGTTCTAAAATGGCAAATAGTTTATTTAAATTAATGGTGACAACTGAAATCTGGAGAGAGAGTTTATATGAGGCTCTTATTGGAGAAAACAGGTAAAGGAGGAGATTGAAAAGAATTAAACTTTTTTAATTATAGAACATTCACAGTTCTGGACACTAGAAAAAAACCTCCGCTCATCTTATCCTGATACAACTACCTCATCCAACTAATCATTTTTTTGGAAATCAGGCCCACAATTTTACTCCTTCCATTACCTCTCAGCTCTTATGTCGACAATTTATAGTCAAAAATATATTAAATTACAATACTGCTATTTTCCAGTTAAATTACAAAATAAAACAAAAATCAAATCGAAGATAGAGAATTGAGAAGATTACCGATAATGGGGCAAGTCTATGCGGGCATTTATCATCAAAAGCAACCCATTCTTTATTATTGTTATCAAACCAAAGTACTAAGTCTCTACCCAGAAGTTGAAATGGTGTGGGCAACATTTGATCCAAATCTTCTACCAAAGAAACTGGATACCAATGATCCCTCCAAGAGAACTTAGAATCCGTACTCTCCTCACCAAACTCATCATCAACTGATCTGTACTCTTCTTCCTCTTCTCTTTTAACAGTTTCTTGATCTGAGGCCGGTACTGATGGAGGAGCTGCAACACGTAAAGGAGAGAAATTGAGATTCCTGGTTCTTTTCAGTGAGTTCGTTATGGACAATTGTTGTTTTGGGGTTCTGGTGGACAAGAAAGGAAGAGTTTTTTGTTGTGATGAAGTGACATAAGCATTAGTAGAGAGAAGTAGCGCCATTTCTAGAGTGGTTTTTCAAGTTTTGCCTTAGTTTATTCAAGTTGTTCAATTGTTTAATGTTGTAGAAAGAGAAAGTAAACTGAGGCTTCCAGAGACACAGAACTTTGCGTGCAAGTTTGAGAGTTAAGCACTCGATGTCTGTCTGGCTGTTTGTATTCACGCCAGAAAGCGAAACGAACTGCTCTAGCCTCTATGTATGATTTTTCCACTTTGAACCCATTGCTTTTGGTTTCAGTTCTTTAACGTTGCGGCAGCCAATTAAATGTCTACACGATAGATGGTGAAAGGTTCAATTACGGATTTACGGTCATTGTGTCGTGTTTTGATTGAAAAACTCTAGAAGGGAAATGCCGATGGAAGATAGTCTCTTGGCTTCTCACAGCCACAATTAATAACGTAATTAACGGTAATATAAATTTAAATATGTAGAGAAACGTGTCACTCAGAGGTGGCACGCGTACTCTGGATGCATCAAGTTTCCCACGTTGATAACTCACGACAGTCAAACCGGGAACCAATTTTCTCATCCAATTAGCCAACCCAACTTGTCTTTTCTATATTTAATAAAGATAATAGAGTGACTTTTATCAATCAATTGCTAGCCAGTCTTTTCTTTGTAAGGTTTGACGTAAAGACTTATCAAACCAACAATATTGGTAACAATATTAGCAAACCTAAAACGGGCTAACGGGTTTGCTCCCCCTCCGTTTTAGGTTTGGATAACGAGAATAATTATTAATATTATTGATCACGAATTAGAAGATTATAAACTATCTCTTAATCCTAAGTTTTTATCATTCGACCAACTCATTATTAGTTTGATAGCCTACGTTAAACTATACAAGAAAAAAAAAAAAGACTAGTTAACAATTGATTGATAAAGTTACTCTGTTGTCTTTATTAAATCTAGACTACCAAAGTGACTATAATTATAGTTAATGAATTTCATTCAATGTTTTACGGGTAACATAAGATATTTTTTTTTTTTTAAGGGTTTAGGGTTTTTTTATGATCAGGCATGTTCGGATCAGCTTATCGCGTATCTTAACTAATCCTCTAGAACTGTAGAACTACCGGCCAGGTAAGAACTCTAACAATTATCCCTATTAGTAACTGATAAAAGACTCGAACTCAGAACCTCTTAAACAATACATCTAAAAGTCTCTAACGAATTACTCAACCATCCATCCATAGATAGTTAACATAAGATATTTTCAAGTTCAAACTTCAAAGTATAAATGTAAAAGCTTCACAAATAATTAAACACTGATATATTCGTAGTTACTGATAATGACCAACTTTTAAACACCCGACTTTAATAACTTTTAAAATCAGCAATGTTACGCTGATATTAGGTCCTGTAGAACATACAAATAAATCACATCAAGGTTCCTTTCCTACCAGAGTCTCTGCTTCCCTCATCATCCCAGAAAATTCATAGAGCGCCCACGGCAATCGCACACCAAAACCTAAGAAAGGTGCAACTTTTTTATCATGCACTTCGTCAAATCAAACATATCCCGAGTGGTGGGGTTCAATTTTTTCTCTGACTCTGATAATGCACACGTGCAGAGGGGATTAGTTCAATTAATGATCACCTCTCTGCGCATCTTGGTAAATTTATTCCCATTCAGACTTGTTTATATTATGGGATTTAGAGAAGGAATAACCTCTACTCTCTAGATAAAGATATCTACAACTGCAATGGGAAGGAGAGAAATATGCGAACCTTCTAACATATGCAGCTGACAGCAATGGGCTGAACCAGGCCAGCACTCATTCAAAAAGTTTCTGGAAAGTAGCTGCTTGCTGTAGGTAAAACAGAATCATAGAAATGATCTCAAAAATCAAACACATTCCTTTCACCCAAAACCCAAACCAAAATGTAGTAAAGAACTGTCTGATTTCCCAAAGTCTCCCAAACAGCCAAACCCAGATATAAACACGACAGATTGAGATTTCCAAAATTGTCTGCTAAACTTCTCTACTCCTAAGACAAATTGAGGGGTCAAACTAAAGAATAGAAGCACAAACACTAAGTGTATCTAGATTTGTTCGGAGGAAGATATGTATACAGTACTAGGTCAGTAAGTAATTCCAGAATTTGGCTGTTAAACATGCAACAAGGAAATAAGTACCCTGGGCTAAAGAAATAAAATTTCTTATCTCCTTAACGAAGGAACTGCTCTGTCACCAGCTAGAGGGGAGAAGTTTCACACCTACCAACAAGTATCAAATACTCAATAAAGAACGCATAACAGTTTATTTATATTAGATATTAAGCTTTAACTAGTATATTTTCACCTTACAGTTCTTATACAAAGAAATTTTATACTCACTGTCAATTCCAAATTTTAAAATATTGATGACCATGAATCAGTCTCAATATTGCTCATCTAGATGAGATAAAACAATTAGATCTCTTGGTCCAGCTCCATGAGTCTGAGAGACCAAATTTCAGAAACTTCAACTCAGAAAGCACACAGATGAACGCGCAAGGGTTACTTCCATCCAGAAAAAATCTTTCACATGATGAATCATTTCTTTGGATAAGTTTGATGGTCGGGTCCAATGTCACGTGAGCCAGTGTTTATGTAAGGCCCTCGAAAAGTTGCTTGTGGTGGCAGTGGCTTTGATGAGTCAATCACTGGCCCTTTCCTTGATGACCTGATTGATAGAAATTACATCATGTGAACGTTGGCTCTCTCAATAATATGTGCATAACAACACAGAAACCTTTGTACTTACGCCATGTAAAAGGGAAATGCCAAGCCTGCTCCAGCGAAAGCCACTAAGCCAGCAGCCACAATGACATTCCGTGCTCGATTCATTGAGAACGTCCAAGCTGCTTAAAAGAAAATGGTCTACAAGAGGAAGGAACACAAAAATGTCACTAAATAAATTTCTAAATAGAATCTGAAAAATAAATTTTAGTACATTAATTAATAAATTTCACATTCAAGCAAACAATATGTTTTCTCACTTCAGGTAAACTATGTATCGGAAGCTATTCAACAATATACAATTTATGGTTGATGCTTCATCACAAAATAAAACTTCCATACAATTAGTGCAAATCATGACCTTCAATCTTTCTTCCTAAATATTTTTGTAAACTCATGAATAAAAATTTTAATCCGCTACCATAATCACTCTCTCTCAGGCTTACAAACCAAAACGAGCTTTTTGGTTTTAAACTTGGTTTCTCTTACCCTGCACATCAATAGCACATATAACCCATCTAGTTGTTATAGCAAGAACATAATGAAAATTTCAAATTTTGATAAATCACAGAAGTTGCCTCAAATTCCTAGCTTTGGCATTCACAATGACTTCTTCGCAACAATCTCACTAGTTGTCTATACTAAAATCAATTCTAACTGTCCATAGCTGATTGAAGTAATAACACTAATAATCAATAAAGTTTTAAAAGAAATTTCGAACAACTAAAATAACAAGATTATTAGTGGAAGATACGAATATTACAATCTAGACAATTTCAAAGCTATCAGTAGAAATTTGATTGAGAAATGAGAACATAACGAAATTAATAAACCCTAGCTCGAGAAAGAGTTAGATGGAGTTACCTAAAAGCACCGAAAACTCGGAATCAGCGCCGCGAACCTAAAGCAATTTACTAGTAATTTGGTTAAGATTTTGTCAGTGTGGTTTCAGCTAGTGAGCTTCCAGCAGCTTAATCTGAGGGATGAAAAGGAAGTGCATTTAGAGAGTTTTTTTCGGAGGTGGACTCGGAGGAAATTTAACTCCCCGGACATCCCAAGTTTGCATTTTAAAAAATAACTCTCAACAAATTTTGCAATTTTGTTTAAGTTAAAAAAACTGACCTAGCATACTTAGGATTGATTAAACATGTAAAGCAGAAAAGATTTAAACATATGTGGGTAATATTATAATTAATAGAAGTTTGTTTAAATTATAAAAATTGCAAACAACCCCCCTTCTCCAATCAAAATCGATTAAGCAAACTCAATCGCTTAATTAACCCTAAGAAAACCCTGACAAAACAGCGACCCTTCACCACGTTTTTCTTGCCGTTTTCTGCCACCCATTGTCGCAATCGTTTACTATTTGTATTGAAGACATTCCCTCTTGCTTTGAAAGAAACAATGGTTGACCTAAACAAAGATTTTGACAAAGACCCAGCCCCTCTTCAAATCGTGGACGCAAGTGGTTTGAAAATTAAAGAATTGGAGGTTGCGGTGGAGCAAATTCTGATGACTGAAGTTGGTCTAGTAGGAGACGATATCGTGCTAGTAGAAGACAGCCCGCCAAGTGAACAAGGGAGGGCAGGAGCCAAAATTGAATGAAGAGGAGGATGTCGGCACAATGTCAGGTGAGAAGGAGGAAGAAGATGAAGTAAAGGTACTAATCTATATATTTTATGAAACTATTGGTTGTTTGAGGGGATATTTGGTTGGTGTGTTGTTGGGGTCATTGTATTTTGTCAAACAGTTGGAGGGCATTGGAGAAGTGGATGTTTTGGTCTTCCAGGGGCTGGGGAAGCCAATAGAGGCCCTAGGAAGGTTGTTTGTGGTAGTTTGGATGGCTTTTGTTAGCAAAGAGAGCGGAATATGGGGGGGCTAGGGAGCTGCCCTGCATATTGCTCTCCCTAGGAAGGTTATTTGTGGCAGTTTGGATGGCTTCTGTTGGCAAAGAGAGCGGAATATGGGGGGCTAGGGGGCTGCCTTGTATATTACAAGGTTGTCCATGTGCAGCCAGCTTGTAATATGTAGGCAAGCCCCAAGCGCCCCCTATGCAGCTCTCTTCTGCGAAGTCCAGAGCACCGAACCTGCCACAGCAGCCTCCCTTGTCTTCACGGACCTCTAGAAGCCAAAAACAGCCACTCCCCCAATGCACTCCAACATGTTGCTTGTTTTGGTTTTTTGTTGTGCTGATATGTAGTGTATATCGATTGTGCAGTGTTATAAGAGCATAAATTATAAGGATTATGGGCTTAAGGTTGTAAATGATGTTGTGCCATACTTCCTGGCAAGGGTTACCATTAGGTCTAGTTGGCAAGTGTTTAGGAAAATTAAAGACATTCTAGGTGGGCATCAAAAAAGGATGATGCGATTCAGAAACTCATGTTTTGGTCATTTTGTGGGGTTAGGAGATAATTGGAGTAAGGCCTTCTGGGGGTAGGGTGCACATTATCTTTTGGTGCATGCTATTAAATGCAAAAAGAAGAATGAAATGTGGTTTTGGTTGATGAAAAGCCGATTCGGTTTGGGATGATGGAATTATGCTTAATGACGGGCCTAAATTGTGGGCATTTCCAGACGTAGAAGTTGAAGAAAGGGTAAAGAATAGCAAGGTTGCCGAAACGTTTGTTAGAAAGGTGTTCGCAGGGTAGTAGTCAATTACGGGTCATGATTTATAGGAGAGGTTAGAAGTGGAAGGAAATCAGTATAGCTCTTTAGAGAAGTTTCGAATGTGCTTGGTACAGTTTGTGCATTCAGTCTTGATGGCTTCTGACTCAACGAAAGCTGTAAACCAGGATTGGGTGCGATATGCAAGTAACGAGGACTTCTTTTATTCTTATCCGTGGGGAAGGCTATCATTTAAGTTAACCATTGATTCCCTGCAAGGAAAAGACATGGCGATTAAATACCGCCAATATGCCGAGAAGCAGAAACCCAGCACATATAATTTGTTTAGTTTCCCTTGGGCAATACAAGCAAATATTAATAGGTTTTAGTTAATTTTTTTTGTATTATATGTGTTTTAATTCTGATATAGACTATTTTTTTACAATGTAGGTTTGGATATATGAGGTCCTCCTTGTCCTAGCTAAGGCGGGGGGCGGATGGAGAGTTCGGATAAGGCACTGCAGTTTCCTAGGATGTTGCAGTGGCACATCGAGAAGAGTGTCCATTGGGACTATGAGAAAATTGAAATGGAAATTGAACTGGTTTGAGTAAGATTAAAGGATTTGTGTTTTGAATATGTAATAGATTAAATGGTTTTTGAAAATTTGATTTATTTTTTAATTTTATTTTTTGGGCAAGGAGTGGTCCATCCGTTCATCACTCCTACTAGGACTGAATCAGTGATGGATTATGTTACATCGTTCAAACCATTGGACAATGTTTTTTATGAGAAGATAGACCACCTAATGCGGGACTTAGAAAAAGTCATGCATTTGACTGCAGTGGAAAGGTCGTTTGTTGAGCATGTGACTGAGGCCGAAGGCCAAGTAGGAGAGATGGATGAGGAGGAAGACATGGAGGCTCATGTTCATACGCCTCCTTCTAATTGGCAAACCGGTACACCAAGTACCAGTTTGCCACCAAGTACCAGTTTACCTACACATCCTGAATCTAAGTTGGTTGACCTCATAAATGGTCTACACAATAAATTTAACTTGTTAAGTGACAAGTTTGACATGTTGAGCAGCACCATTTATGAGAAGGTAGATAAATTGGAAGAGAAGGTGCAAAGGGTGGAGGAGAAGGTTGATATGCTATTGGAAATGAAGGAAGTTCAACCTAAGAAAAGAGAGACCCAAAAAAGCAAGCATGTGACATCTCCTTTCATGCAATTAAAGTATGAAAAGAAAAGGAGAGTTGCGAAAGAAAATGAGGAAGTTGGAGGAAGTGGGGAAGCTAAACTGGCTTATACGGAGGAACAAGGAGGAAGTGGGGAAGTTAAACTGGCTTATACGGAGGAACAAGGAGGAAGTGGGGAAGTGAAGCTAGCTGATACGGAGGACAAGGAGGAAATGAGGAAGTGAAGCAAGCTGATACGGAGGAAGAAGGAGGAAGTGGGGTAGTGAAGCAATTAAAGCTTGATTTGTTTAGGGTAGTAGATGAGGAAGGGAGAAAATCCTTTTACGTCTATTACAATGATGAACAAAGCGATGTGGTTGTGAAGTGTAAGAAAAGAGATTCCTCGAAAGTGGTTTGATCAAATTTTGACAATGGGCCGCTGGGTTGACGACTTAGTGAGTTATTTTTCCGTATTTTGCCTTATTTTTTCATAAGGTATTATGTGATCGTTGTTTAATAGATCGCTTAAGCAATCTGTTTTGATTTGATGACACTTATCATGTTGTTTTGTTTTGATGCAGCACATTGATGAGGTTTTGGCACTTATGAGGTTGCGACAGAGCACTAAGGGTGACAATTTTTATCCGCATTGTGCCATAATCGATGTGTCATTTAGCCAAAGACTAGTAAGCATACATGAGAAGTTAACGAAAAAGGCCAATGATGGAGGAGTCAAAAGGGGAGGCAAGCGGAAAAGAATGGCTGCAAATGAGTATGACGGTGTCCTTGCTAGCTATCGGTTTGATGAGAGGATGATGTAGTATGTGAGGGGGGAAAGGCCCAAATATGGCAAAGTTGGGCAAATGTGAAAAAAGTATACTGCATCGTCAACATCAAAGATATGCATTGGATAGCTATCGTCTGGCAACTAGAGGAGGGCTTGCTGCAGATTTTTTATTGCAACCCCAATATTTATCGGGGAGGCAGTTGGAGAAGGAGATAAAGCTGTTGTGTACATTGTTCCTGCGGCTGTTGCGAGAGAGTGGTATGTTTCAGCACTTGGGCGATGAACTACTGACGGGAAAGTGGCAACACAAGCGCATTCTCGTCCCAACAAATGACACAAAGTAAATTTTGTGTAAAACTTACATAATATAATTGTTCTATAAGCTGATTGTAATACTAATGTCTTCCCCATATTGTAGTGCTAATTGAGGGGTATATGCACTAAAATTTCTTGAGTTCGACATGACCAACACCCCAATAGATGACTTGAATGATGATACAATAGCAACTTTCAGGAGCGCTTGGCTGTTGAGTGCTTTCGTGGTCATATGGATCTGTTAGTTACCACAGAAGATATGCTTGTGATCACTAATCTGTGCCAGTTCTTTTATTTTGGCTGTTTTCATTATTAATACAGATTCTGCCGATGGCTGTTAGGATTGTGAAGCACGCCATAGAAATTATCAACCTTTTGGTAGTTAGGCTCCTGCAGAGACGCTGTTGAATGCAGCCCTAGAGTCTGATGATTGCAGGGAAGATTAGAGTCAAGGAAGACAGAAAGGTAAAAGAATTCATCTCGGATACTACTACCTGGGACTGAGCAAAGACTACATCAATTATGTCAAAAGGTAGTGTTAATGGGTGTGACAATTGCATTCAATCCAAGCCATTGTTGATGCCGTCGTTAACAGTTATGGAAGTTGGACTTCGAGTTTTATAGTTTATGTGAATTGCATTTCTTATATGGATAATTGGGTTGTCTTGAATTGGATAATTGGGTTGTGGTGCATTAAACTGATATTGTTCGAAAGGGTGTTGTAGAAGAAGATGAAGAGGTTGCTGCTGTTGATGCTGATGCTAATGCTAATGCTGGATAACTTTGGAGGATGGGGAAGTGGCTGAAGACAATGATGAAGAGGGAGGATAGAGCTTGTCGAGGCTGCTGTTAGTTTAGGTTGGTTTAGGACATTTAGTTAATGTGTATAATGTTGTATTTTCATGTAATTGACACATTTAAGATTTCTAATAAAGCAATTCAGTATTTCTTTCCCTTTTTTGACTTTGAGTTTATTTAGGGATGTTTTTAAATGGAATGAATATATGTTGATGCAAATAGGTTGTCAAATTGAGAAAATACATAGTTAATATGTGTTGATGCAAAAAGGTTGTCAAATTGAGGAGAAAATATAGAATTAATATGTGTTGGGCATGATCGCTTAAGCGATGGCGTATATCGCTTAAGCAATCAAGGGTTTCATAAACTGAATCACTTGAGCAAGACCTTACATCGCTTAAG